TCTTTTGCTTAGAAACTCACCTTAGTCTTCCTTTAGCCTTCCTCTACGTTTTTCCTCAAATTCCTTCGCCGGAAAAGTCGTCGGGGCCGCCGCCCCTCTCCCGTCCGTCGTGTGCTCCTCCTTTGGTTCGGGCGAACAAGATGAAACGAAATGAATGAAGGGACCGAACTCTATTCAGTCCCTTAAAGCTTCGTTTGATTAGGGATTTGCAAAAGGACCATTTTGCCCTCACTTAAAATATATCCGCTTTAGTAATGACTAGGGGTATTTTCGGTATTTAGAGATTTATATAAATTTTAATTCCAAATTTAAGCGAAATTAGCTATTAGTTATATATATCAAATCGTTGAGAATTTTGCGTAGAATTTTATATAATGATTTCGGTCGAAATCCGTTAACTTTGAAATTTCATTTAAATTTTGTTGCGACGCATAAAAATGCGTGCGACACCTACGATCGTCAAATTTTGGGTTTTACATTACTTGCTTCTCATTCTGGTGGCTCATTGAAGCCCTTTTAGGCTTTCAATTGTCCATTATCGACGTTGGTTGCAACAATTCAAGGTCAGTAGCCTATTGATGGCTCGTAAAACTTTTGGCTCACCTGAATATTATGGATCCTAGCACGTTCGATCATAAGGATAATAATCATGATAATAAAATCAAGGATTGTCATACTCATTGGGTATTTATTAGAGCAATTATTGAAGGAGGGATATTTAAAGGAATTCCTCATAGATTTTGCTAAGAGTGACCAAAGGATAGACCAGCTAACTAGTCTTACTCGGCCACCTTATAACCATTAAAAATCATAGATGCTATAGTTAGAAGAGCAGGGCTAGAAATTTGCATCCCAGCCAAAACTTTGGAGGGTACAAGTGAATGAGGTAAATTTATTCAGTATCCACTTTCTTTTTATAAAAGGCGTCATACCTGCCAACAATGTTTACAATAATTCAAGGGATGTCAAAGCACTGCGCAATTAGTTTGAAGTATGATGAATGCTTGTCCATTTGAGAAGTTCAATTAATATTCCCTTTGTCCATTCATTAAAGTGGCTCTGAGTCAACATGGAAAACCATAAGGTTATGGTAAGTATCACTAATCGGGTTCTTTGGTGAAGCAAGTACCCTGGAGGGGATCATAATGCTAATAGTCTTGTTGGGGGATAACTATTACCATAGGAATTTAGTGAATTTGCTCTGTGATTTTAGCATCTTTAGTTGAGACCTGTGAATTAGAAGAGGGGATCTTATTCAATCAATGATCTATAATCTTAGTTCCATTTGAACACTTGCACTAGAGCTGCCATGAACATTGATCGAGACATTGGAAGGCTTGCAACATTGAAAACTAATTTCACGCAAACTTTAAAAAAATTTGCTCTTGATAGGTATTACCAAATTCAACTTTTTAAATTACCATGAGTTAATATTGATGTTTTTGCATGCAATTTGTATGATATGACTGTGATCCAAATTCAGGTGCAGAGGCTAATGAAACTTTTAAAAGTTATCTAATATCAAAGAAATAATGTTTCTATGGATTTGACTAGGCTAATATTTTCTTCCACTTGAATTTTGCTTCATGGAGGTCCCCTTATCCTATATTTATAATCCAACTAAATTTCTAGTATCTATTTATAATCCAACTAAATGCATACATAGGAATCCTTATCATCAACTTCCTACATTCATTCAAATCGTGATTAGCGCTCCATAAAAAATAAACTTCTCATAAATTCTCTCCCGTAAAATTGGTAACTCTTAGACTAAAGAGGACAAAAAAGTAGTGAATATTGGGTAGTTTTCTTGATTTCCTCAATTGATTTCACTTTCCTCTCTCTTTGGCCACCCCCTTCTTATTTGAAAATTTAAATTACAGTACAGTTATTGTACTTTTAGTTCCTTGATTAAAAAAAAAAGATTAAGCTTGCAAATATTCTTGAGAGCCTCCTAGATCATGACTTTCCATTTTATGACATTTGCTCTCACAAATATAATTAATTACAAAATAATGATACATTAGAAATAAGATTTAAGAATTTTGATCTTAATTACATCGAAAATAGAATTGTTTTTTATCCAAGCTAAATAGCTAATCCCGTTTCATGCATTCATCCCATCCGATGATCTTTCTTGATGACAAAATCAATATTCTTGATTTATTTGACATAACACATATGAATGGCATCCAACCTTCTTATGCATTTGGCACAAAAAAGAGTATCCTTAATATTAATTCTTTAGAGAGGATATTGCAAATCAGAAGCAAAGAGTTAACAATGAGATCTGCAATTTAAAAGACAAATAATATCCTTGAATGGAGCTATCAATAAGGAGTGTTGATGAGTATGTTTTTGAGAATGTTAATGAAGAGTATTAATAGAAAGCATCGACATATTAAGGATTATATAAAAAAAATAAAAAAATTGAAGGACTTGGCGCTAATATCATGTTGAAGTGAGAGAACCATAAAGGACTAATTTTACTAAATTTTCTTCTAGTGCAACATATATGTGCCTATATGTTGGTATGAAAATGAGACCAGTAAAGAAAAATATAATAAAATAGGGTACTTTTTAGATTTAGAATGTTATAATAAGAAACAATGCATATTCAAACTATGAATAGTTAGTGCATATGATTATTTAGAAGTATTAACACTTCCTTACAAACACAAGGTACCATAGAATATGCTAAGTTTAAAAATAAAAGTGGACAGGGAGGTGTTCAAAGCTTTTATTTCCCATATGTTGAGAGTGTTATAAGGGCATGACAAATATTTGAAAGAGAACAGTGTGAATCAAATACAAAAAGTCGATAACAAGATCAGTTTCAGGGACGACACAAATAAGATCCTTAAATAAAGATATTGATAGAGACTATTGATGTCTGTATCGATATATAACATTGAGAGTATTGAAATAGATTGTCGATGGAGAGGTTGACATGTTAAGGATAAATGACATTGATGCGGCCATCACCGGAGAATAGAAGTAGATCATAGTGATGTACAAATTTGTGAGAAATAAAGAAGGTGAACCAATGCTTCAATTGTTGACGATGGTGATAAGGATCGCATAGAAGGAGAAGTTGGTAGAGTACAAGCAAGTTGCAATTAAAGAGAAGCGTAAGAACACGATAATGGAGATTGGAAGTTTGAGGAGTGCTAATTGATGAGGAGATTTTAAGAGAATTCTGGGAGAATTGTAGGCCTCATCTTTGATACCATGCTAGAATGGAGAGTTCAAAAGAGTTGCTTTTTTTAATAAATTGTCACTCTAATACAAACATGGCTGTGCCTTTGTATAGGCAAGAAAAGAGAGCAATAAAATAAAATATAATAAATGAGAATATTATAATTAAAAAATATTATAATAATAAATACTACAAATTTAGATTAATTATAATATATTAAAGGGAATATCATAATAATAATACTATAAATTCCTGCTAGTAATAATTTAGGCCATATGATAATTTAGACATTCTAATACTTGTTGGATATCATTTACAATTTTACATGTTCGTATTGTATCATATAAACTAACTAGTGTATACCCCAATGTGCGAATCAAGGAAAGTCAAGGAGAATGGGTGGGCTCACCGATTAATCAAGTTGTATCCATGAGGAGCCACTAACCCTAGTTAGAGGAGTTACTTGCCCTAACATGAGAGCCACTCGCCCCAGACCAAGGGGCAATTGCCTCGGCCAAAGATTCGTTTGCCCGTCACAAGGGGACATTTTCTTGTTCAATTTAGTAGCTCACTTATGCCATGCCAAAGCAGTGGCTTCATGAATAGGTCAGTTTGCGATCTTACCCACATGATCGGCGACTCCTTCCAGCCACTTCTAGAAGCTATCCACATGTACTCATAAAAGTTTTGACCATCATGTCCATATGTCTGTGATGGTCTTGTCTTGTATATTTCATAAATACCGTTTCAGAGAGTTATTTTTCACACTCATAGTGATTTCTATAATGATTTCTCTGGACATTTTGTGCTGGTAATAGAATTCCTAGACTCCTTTCTAGAATTCCTCTCTTTTTTCATTCCCTCTCTCTATATATATACTTTTCTCTTTGTTGGAACCTTGCTAGCCTTGCAATTGCCCACTAACAAATTCGGATTCAACACCTTGAGTATGCCCTTTGTATTGTATGCTATAAGTTTGACTCACATGCATGCCTTGCATCAAGCGCTTCATTGTCTTAAAAATTTAACAAATTATTGAAAATAGAGTTGGTAGTTTTTTGTGTTCTTCAAATTTTGGGTGTTATTTTTGTAAATAGATGTTTTTATTTTACTAAATATATAAGATTTGAGTGATGCACATCCGAAATTTCCCTATATCTCTCCTAAAAAGTTAGTACGAAAAGAAGTCATAGGAAATCATGAATGTTTGCTATCATCAAAAGTCTAATCCATAAACTCAAATTTGCAGCAATCTCTCCCTTTTTTAGGAACAAGTTCAGGAACAGGAGTGGGAGTGGGAGCCTCCTCCTCTTCCCCCTGAGCTTCCCCATCCCATAAAAATAAGCTCAATAAAAACTCTCATACACAAGATAATTATCTCTCACCATGATACTATAATTTATCTGCTGCATAGAGTTCTTGAAGAGCTTGCAACCCCGTAAGCTCTGTTTGTAGGCGGACTAGTAAGGCGGAGCGCTTGCTCAAGGCATCAGAAATTATGGTGTTACCATACCTACCTCCACAGAAGTACAACATAACTTTTTTCAAATTATTTACATCCCATGGAATCCGTGCTAATTCGTTCTTGATCGTCTTATTGTGAACGACAGGTGTGGATTCTACAAATTCATAAACTATCCTCGTGATGCCTACTTAATAATTTTGAAGTTTCACTGCTCTAAACATTATTTTGGGAGGCGTGATATTTTTCTCAGTTGTTTACAGTCACTGGATATATACCATGCTTCTCTTGTTGTTACAGTTCATCTAAAAAACTTCAGTTGCTAAATTTTATTTCCAGGTTTTCCGATTTGACTGGAACTGATTATAGTGAAGGAGCAATTGAACTTTCAAGGAACCTCGCAGTTCGCAATGGATTTTCACATATAAAATTTTTGGTATGGTAGTTCTTGTTATCAAGATGTTCAGTGTATTTTTCTTCCTGAGGTTTTTAGTAAGAATTTTGATCTTTGGATGCATTCTGTGCCCGGAAGTCTTCAAGATAAATGTGATTAGTGAAATTCCATGTGATCTGATTATCCCTCTTTTTTTATGGATCTAGTCTAACCACAATGTCTTTTTTTTTTCTTGTTAATTATGAAATATGAATATATTTTTGACTACTCCATTGCAATCAAACCTTTGTATATTAGTGGCAGGTTTATGAAAAAGATATCTGGTCATAAAGTATTTTAAGTTATTAATCTTGATTCTGAAAAGTATATTTTGTTATTGCGATTTAATTATTGTCCTATGGTTCTGCTTTCCTTTGAGCATTCTAGCAATTTATTGGTTTGGTCATAATGTACTTGCAGGTTGATGATGTACTGGAGACAAAATTGGACAAAAAATTTCAACTAGTCATGGACAAGGGTACCTTGGATGCCATCGGTTTGCATCCAGATGGTCCAGTTAAGAGGTAATTTCATTCCAGCTACATGGGAAAGATGCTCTTAACTTCAATTGCTTTTCGGATGTGTTAATTTATCATGGCACGGATATTACAGCATATTACGGTATGTAGAAAGTTGCTATTTGGTTAAGCTTTAAGTTTCAGAGGCAAATCCCTTTAGGAAAGGTGTTTTCATTGCAATAAAACCAATGCTATTTGTGGACCACAAACCTGTTCTACTTGCCACTGGCATTCACATATGGGTGTAAATGAGCTGAGCTTGATATGCATTCGTGTTCGGCTCATTCGAATTTTATTTTGTTCGAATTCCACTTGTTTTTTACACTTTTCGTAGATATTATGTTTGCGACTGATTTGTTCTAACCCAACTGGCTTTTTTGACTTGTGTTTAACTCGAATTTGTCTCAAATTATGAGAAATTGTAAAATCTCTCTTTTTAAATTAAGCATGCCATGGCCTGCCATGATTAACTCACTAACATATACTATATAAACTTATAAAGCAAGTGATACAAATTTAAAATAACACACACACATATATATTACTTGGTTTGCTGAATCTTCTTGAACACCTTAGATAGCATTAGCTATTATGTTTTCTCGTTCCTATTTTCTGATTGATAAAATCAACAGGCTCATGTATTGGGACTCGGTTGCCAAACTGGTAGCTCCTTCTGGAATACTGGTCAGTGTGCTATAATTTAAATAAATTTGTGCTGGGATATTCGAACTTAGGTTTCGTTTGGGACGACTTTCTTGCTGCTTCTTAAAGCAGCTTTCTAGTATATAAAAAATTTAATTTTTATACTAAAAAACTGCTTTAAGCAGCAGCAAGAAAGCCGTCCCAAACGAAGGCTTAGTCATTTACTCAACCACTGATTAATTGATGAGACATTTCATGATACAATTTTGCTCACAACTGCAGGTGATCACATCATGCAATAACACAAAAGATGATCTGTTGCAAGAGATGGAAAGTTTTAATGGAAAAAGGCTCGGCTCCAATGACCAGGTACTTGGGGAAGCCAGCTGGGGCTCTTTGTTCAAGTACATTGATCATGTCAGAACATATCCGTCTATCATGTTCGCTGGCGTGGAAGGTACTCGCGTGTCCACTGTTGCTTTTCTTAGGAAATGAGCCTGAACTATGAAACTATCTTTGCTTCGTTAATATCTTGTGTATATAGCTCAAAATTGATAAAAATTGGACTAAATTTGAAGATAGTAGTTGTAACTTAATGTCTGTTTTTACCCTGCTTCTTTAGTTAGAATTTGAACGTTTCCAGATTGTCTTATATTGAGAAAGCTAATGTGTTTCTGAATTTAGTTGTGATCTTTTATGTTGTTCTACCTGAGTGACAATGGGTTTTAGATGTTTTACACTAATATTAGATTGGAATATGTTGGACCGGTCCAGCCGGCCCCTTCTAAGGGGCCGGTTCATATATACAGGAGAAAGGGGTGCGGTGGCAAGAGAAAGAGAAGGATTGGGTGGGGTCCACTAGAAATTCAAATTCAAAGTTTGGAGCCAAAGGAGGGGGTGGCAAGGGTTTTTGGGTCTTTTTGCTTTAATGATTGATTGTATGCCTTAAGTATGAGGGAGAAATTAGGGTTAGGGTTATGTTTTTTTTTTAGGGTTAGGGTTATGCTTGATTATTGTGTTCTCTTAGAATTTCTTCTTGGTGTCTTGGGCTCTAGATTCGTCTAGAGATTGAGAGAGAACCATAATTCTTTTGAATTGAGGATCAATTATTTCTTTGCTTTCGTTGTCTCCGTTAGTTTGTCCTTTTGCAGTAAAATTACTGTTTTTTTGGAGTTTTTCATTAGATTTCCTGGAATTGTTTGCTGTTTTCTCTATCTTTTGTGAAGGTTTACTTGAAATATTCAAGTATTTCCTATCAGAATCATGTGAAAATTGTAGAGCGACTCTCCTGGCTTTGGTTTTGTATTTATAAACATTCAAGAGAGTTTGATAGCTAATCAACAAGTTTTGGGCATTAGTGAAGTTAATGAAGTATAATTTCCCCGGGGAGGATGAGAGAATCACCGTAGTATTGTCTCCTTGAAAGTTTTAAAAGAATATCCAATATTTCAGAACATCTCTTCTAATTAGTAGAGAAATTTTCGACTCAATGTGAGCAATGTAATCCTTGGGATCTAATTTCTCTCCATATGAATTCAACTCCAACATCCTAAACTTTGGTAGAGCTTTTCTCTGCAAATCTTGGGTGAGAAAGCATTTATTGTTTAAGCCTTGCGCTTTTAGGTTGGTGTGAGATAGAGAGACTGGGGGGCGTCTTGAGAGTACTCTTCTTGTGTAAAAGGCTTGTCATTTTGTGATGTAGTCCTCAAATTTAGGGGAGATTATTACGTGCGGAGTCGAACACAGATAATCGTTCGGATTTGTGATTGTCAACAGTAAAAACGCAGTGATGAACAGTAACTGCATTTTTATTGTTCATAATCATAAAATCAAATGGTTCTCTGTATTCGGACTCCGCATATAATAATCTCTTCAAATTCAGATAGTGCTGATGCTTGATGTGCACAACTAATACTTGTGTGCTAGGGGGGGATGGAGGAAGAGGAACAACTTATGAAAAATGCTAAACCATGTTCATGATCATCTTTATCAAATGATACTCTTGGTGCTATAGCTATTATGAGGTGACTTAGTTGTTAGGCCATTTGATGTGCAAGGATCTATTCCTTACCCAGACCAATCCATATTATTGTTTTGGTCTTTGACATAATTTAGATTCAATTCACCGCACCAAAAATGATTTTGGATCCATGGTTTTATTTCGGTGAAAGTCTATCAAAATCATTTACAACCCTAATGGGGATCCTCGTGAGTCCCTTGTATGAGTTTTGACAAGCTAACTTTTGGGTAAACTTATTTGGGATGTGACTCTGGATAGCCTGAGGCTTAAGGTAACTTGGAAAGTATGCTGAGTTCCCAATTTGTAGGATTTTGAAACAACTAGTTCTCAACTAGTGATTTATTAAATTTAATTCAAATCCTAATTATAACTTGATTAATTTGATACCTGCAAATATGAAGGTAGAAACATATCCATTTTTTTGGAATTTTATTTATAATTTTGAAGTATAATTTTATTTTTTATTCTCCAAACGGCATTTTCTATATATGATTAATTATACAAATATATCTGATGGCGCATGTTGATTTGTGCTTTCCTTGTGATCATTTATGTTTCATTTGGGACAACTTTTTTACTGTCTTTTGAAATAATTTTTAGCACAAAAAATTAAAAATTTTGTATTACAAAGCCACAAGAAGGAAAGCTGTCCCAAAAGAAATTTTAGTTGAGATGTATGTCGGCATCAAACTGGTAGGAGGTCATAACATCAAGCTGGTAGCAGGGCGTACCAAACCAATGAGTCACAAATTTAGAAGAAGATATATATATTTTATTTTTGGACAAATAAAATTTGATGTCATTATATTTTTATATATATATCTAACGTTTAGTTTTCATTTGAGACAAATTTTTTATTTTTTAGATTTTAACTATAATTTTTATTTGACAATTATTTTTTATTATTAAAAAAATAATTATACTAAAAAAATATTATTACAATAGTTTTAAACAGTTATTTTCTCTATAATAATTTAATTCCTTATGAAATCTTAAAATTTTATATTTATTTACGTAACACTATTATTATATAAGTAGTATGAAAATATGTACATATCATTTAAAATTTAGGAAGCTATATAAATCAACAATAAATAAGTGTTGCGGTGCTTATTTTTCGCGTGCTTAAGCTGAGAGTGTGAACGAGTTGAGCTTTAAGAAGATTTTAAAGGTAGGCTGAGCTTATACCCGACCAAGCAGTGGCTGTGGCTCTAAACAAAAATATTAGGTCATCATGGTGATTTATTTATCTCTTATTCATGAAAAAATTAAAAACATAATTTCTCTTGAAATTTAAGATGTATTTTTATAGATAGATGAAAACAAATTTAATTTTAATTTCATTTTATCTTTTTTTATGCCTTTTAGGCTATGCATGTATCAGAGATGGATAATACTTTCCCATATATATATATATATATATATATAACAGATTCATTTCTGATGAGCTATGTTAGATGATGTGCTCGCTTAAAATGAACATCGTCATGAGGATCAATCGTTTTTATAAGTTTAAAGGCATGCATGTATTCACTCTAATTGAGTTCACAGTGTAGGAGCTCGCGTTGGGCAACCTGATTAATAATGCATATATTTCGAGCGAGTTTGACTAGAGAACTTAGTCTCAGCAAGTTTTCACTCGAAAGAGGCATTTTCCTTATGAGGACTTATCTCTTTTAGCAGTTCTTTCTAATTAGTGCAATTTGTCTATCAAGTATATCATTGTCTATGCTCAGGAGGCACACAAGCCTATAGTGTCCACAATCATGACTCCATTAATTATGGATGTATCTAGTTCACAGCCACACTTGCCTAGAAGACTCATTGCTCGCTTTGAAGGACTCACTACTTGTCTAGGGGATTCGTCTTTATGGACTTACCAAATATGCCATCCAAGAAGTCTAGATTAGGGCACTTACCATTAAGGATTCATCAAGGGTACACCCTAGGGGCATCCAGAGCCATGTCAGAGACATATGGTCATGTCTATAACTTTTAGCGTAGCTTATGTGTCTATTTCAATATGTATTTGTCAAAATATGTATTATTTTTCTATTTTTCTTAGGTGTAGTCTTTATGGTAACCCTTTCAATCTTAAAAATATGGGGTTAAGAAATATATTTTGGGATTCATGTTATTTTCAATATCCACAGAGATTACTTTGTTTGCTTTTCTCTAAACTCCCAAACTAGTTAGTAGGGTTAGGTGTCACACATAGGCAAATTTATATTTAAAATGGGAAAAATGTCACGAGTGTTGATTGATGATGGTGACCATAAGATAAGCATTACATGAAGAGCAGCTAAACTAGGAGTCATATGTGAACATGAAAAATTAGAACTTCACAACCCACAACAATTTAATGGAGATAAATGAAAGACTCAGACGGATGATTTAAAGTCATGGAGGCAAGCTTAAATGGATGTCTTGAGAACAATTACTCCCAAGAAATATTTTGACTTGGTAGACCACCAAAGATGCCCCGACGCTAGAGTGATAAATTCAAAAACCAGTTGTGGATTAAAGTCATACTCATACCAATGATGAAGAGTACATTCATCTCCTACGCGAGTAAGGAGGAGATACCTAGAGTTCACTAACGTATTTTCTAGAGAAATTATAGAGGAAAGGATGTCCACTAAGTTTAAAATGTCCACTTTTGAGTTATACTATGAGAGGTTTGACCCCATTGATCACGTCACATACTTTGAATTAGTAACATCATTGACAAATGTCAACGATGCATTAAAGTGTTGATTGTTCTTCACAGCCTTCAAAGAATCCATCATTCTGGTTTTTCCATTTGTCATTGGGCATCATCACATCTTTCTCCGAATTTAAGAGGATGTTTGTCTAGTAATTTGTGAGCTCCCAAAGATCACTTAAGAGCTTGTAAGCCCTTTCAAAGATAAGGTAGGAACCTATAGAGTAGCTAAGCTTCATCATCATCATATTATAAAGATATGTTGGAAGCATATATCTACATGCATAGCAAGATAATTCAATTTATTCAATCCGAAAAGAGAATATGAGTGCAAAATAAAAAAAAATTGAACTTTTCTCAAATTTTAATTGAAACTCGATCAATATTACTAGAAGTTGTTTAAACAATATCTCCGCATTGATCAAATTTTCTTAAACATTGATCACACCATTTTTAAATCATGATTGAAGCTTTTTTTACTACTGGAGCGAAATATTTGAACAAATCTATATCAATGTTTGACCATAAATGAACATGTTTCAATTAAGATTAGAATAAAATTTAAGAAATATGTGAAGTAAGTAATCTCATATTTAATAGCTTTCTAGCTCTGGAGTTTAGAGTACCAACATATAACATAATCATAGTTGAAAATTTTCTTAGATCTATATATAACTAATCTTCAACTAAAATTATTGGTCAGTTGGAGATAGAGACGAAAATGCTGCCTTGGAACTTTGGCTTCATTTGGGGCGGCTTTCTTTATGCTTCCTAAAACAGCTTCTTAGTTGAAAAATTAAAATTTTTATACTAGGAAGCTGCTTTAAGAAGTAATAAGAAAGCTATCCCAAACGAAGCCTTTGACTTAGAACCTTTAGTCGTGAATGAGAATTGTATAACAAGAAGAAGATGCTGAGAATAATGAGTTTGATTGCCTTCTTGCTCAAAATGTTCTTACATAATACTCGAAAGGCTCTTCGAATTTTATGGATATTTTTGTCCAAATAAATATTCCCCAAAAAATAAAATATCGAGCATATTTCTCAAAATTCGACCAGTTTGGTGCATATAATGTAAATTTTTTCTACATAATAAATCATTTTTCATGAGCTAAACGGGAAAATGAAAGTTAGAAAAAAATTCAATTTATTAAGAGTGACAAATTCATAAAAACAGTGTAATGCCTTCTTAGAAATATAAAATTAGAGTAAATATTAATCAATTTATATGTTATGTGTTTGCCTCTCATATTTAACATAATGATGTTATTAGTCTAATTTTTTTAAATATTTTTCTCCATCACACCGCCAACTTTACTAATGATTAGAGCATACATGATACATCCACATACATAGTATGTCGCCACGTGCTCTTACCCTTTACCGTGCGGCCCGACGACCCGACTCGGACCGGAATCCGGGATTACTATGTTCGCGTATTGCTCAGTATTTACTCGGTATTGCTAGGTATTGTTTGGCAATAATAAGAAATACCGCTATGTGAAGACCAATACCGAGTAATACTTAAAAGAACTCAATATTGCTCGGTATTGTTAGGTATTGGTCTTTACAGAATGATATTTTTCATTTTTGTCGAGCAAAATTGACCAATACCTAGCAATATCGAGCAATACGCAAACTCCCGGGTTCATTCCGGGTCGGGTTGTCGGGCCGCGCGGTAAATAGTGAGAACACGTGGTGCCTGTTTAGTGCTCACCGAATATAGAGCTACGTCAGGTTATCTGACCTAATAATTTTTCCCTAAATTGGCCTGCTCTTCGCTAGATTGCCATTATGTAGTGCTTGATGTTGACCACCATGCCTCTAGCAGCTGCCGTATTGACTTTATTGCCGTTAGTCAATTCATTCTCTCCATCGATAGCTCTAACAATGGTCTTGAGCAGGGGCGGATCTACCTCAAGCTCGGGGGGCAATTGCCCCCATAAAAATTCTAAAATACTATGGTCTTTAGGCAATTGTCCATAGCATAGTTAAACACATTGTGTAGAGATGTTATTGTTAGAGAATACTGAACTAAATACAAATTTGTTCCAGAGGCAGCTGCCCCTTGACCCCACGACTTGCCCGCTTGGACCTCCAACATATCTGCGAAGCATACAACGATCAAAGATATGAACAAATAGGAGTCGAGTCAAATTCTACACTTTTACTTATAAATTTGCCCATCCTAAAAATTAAGCTTGATTCTGCCCAGTGGTCTTGAGTCTTTGGATAAATAAATAAATAAATAAATAAAACATAAAATTTGAAGTTACGTATGCAAATATTACTATTTTAGTGGTATATAAAAAATGTTTGGTGGCTCACAAAAAGCGATTTCAAACTTCTCTTTTTATATTAGTGCTGAGTTTCATTTCTAACATCGGGCAGAAGAAACTTAAGGAAGCTAAAATTGCCGTTCCCTAGAAAATAAATTTCCTTTACGTTTTCCATTAAAACCTCGAATCCAAATAGCAAATCCCCCAACTTTGAATCAATTTGTAACCCTATCCCTCGAACTTGAAAGCATATTCAGTTTTACTCAAAAAAGCCCACGATCGGTCTCTAATTTCTTCTCTTATTCTTCGATCTCCATCTTTTCAATGCCTTTTTTGAGATATCACATCCTTCTTTTCCTTTTTCTCTTGGTATTCTTCGAGATCTTCGCTGCCGCCGTTGGCTATCAGAGATCATTACTTCGGTCCCTAGGTGAGGGTAATGGCCAGCCGGACTACGCCGTCGATCTAAACAGTACCACCTTTGACAGCATCCTCAAGGAATCCCCTGCTAGCTTTGCCGTCGTGGAGTTCTTTGCTCACTGGTAAGATCTTTTTTCCATGAGATTTTGTTTGATCCTTTCGTTCGCTGCTACTTTCATTCGAGGGATTGTTTAATGGAAAATATATTAGTATTGTTGCGTGCCGGAATATTGGTGACGTATCAAGTATGGTTATTGTTGGGCATGGAATACTGATTGAGGTTGTAGTAGTTTAGTTTTTTTATTCGATGTATTTCATTCTGAATCTGAGTGGTCTTTTTGTTGAGTTGGAATGTTTGATTGGTAGGATTTGGCTGGCTTTCTAAATGAATCTGTGCGTTTTAACTTTACTAGGAATGACTGTGTTTGTTTAATATATTTATATGCATTTTTTAGCAAGGCTCCGGTAGGAGTTTTTATTGAAGAATAGCCTATTTAACTCTATTGGAGATTGTTGTTGTATGTACTATGTGCTTAGGAAAAATAATTATTTTAGAGGGGATTAGTTGAAAGATTTATATGCTGTTCTTTAACGGGCTGTTTGGGTACAAGTAGGACTTAACTCAAGAAGGATCTAGGAAATCATGTTAATCGAGATTTAGTTGAATTTCAACAGAATTAAAACTTGAAAAATGTTTGACATGATGATTGTTGAATTTTGCTAAATTTTGATATACTATTTGTTTGTTTTTTTCAGTATTTAATATTTGTGTGGCAAGACATTATGAAATCCATCAAATATTGGATTTAACCAATAATAAAATTTATCAAAATGATTTAAAATCTACCCCACGTAGCGGGACAAAGGCTTGATGTTGTTGTTGTTGATTTAAAATCTACCATATTCTAATTGTCAGGATTTAAGAGAAACCTTGCATATAACCTGCTTAAAATGGGATACTAAACAATCTTTTAGTCTCCTTACTTTATTTGAGAAAACTTACGTTTAATGTTAGATTGAGGATTTGTCTTTTAGCATTTGGAGCGAGAGTTGGTTTTCAAAGTTGTGTTAATTTAAGGAATGATTGTATATTATGATAGATAAAAAAAGAAGGAAACCTGAATTCCCTCAGAAGGATATCTAGCATCAATATAAGTGGTTCCATGTTCCTGCTATTCTTTCTTAGAGTCTGTGCATCAATATCTAGTTGATTTTTTTATAAATTTTTTTAATAGATTTGTAATTCTCTAGTTTCTTTTATTTATAGGGTTGAACCTAGTCATGGAAATGGGAAACAAAGATGATGTAGTTGGGAAGGGATTGGAAGACTAAAATTAACTTGTTTGTAGTTATATTTCTGGATAATGATCAACGTACAATGTGGAGCTTGGTTAGAATGAGTTTAAAAGTAAGGATTCATATATGTTGCGCTTACAATTTTTGCAAAATTAATTATAACAATGGTGATTCTACCTGTATGATATCTCATCTTTGTTTTGATTCAATCATTCTTAAATTCATCAATTTGCTTTATCGTTTATTAAACGAACTTCATTAATATTTTCATACTACTTAAAATGCTAATGTTCTATAATTATAAATTTTGTAGGTGTCCTGCTTGCCGAAATTATAAGGTAAGCGAGCTTAGCTTTTGGTGTTATAGGCTTAGAATTTTTCTTGCTCTAATTCTTGAACTCCTTGAGGTACTCTATAGCCTCATTATGAAAAGGTTGCAAGGCTTTTCAATGGACCAAATGCTGTTCATCCTGGGATTGTATTAATGACGCGGGTAGACTGTGCAATGAAGGTATATTGGCCCTATCCTGATGGTTTGTTTATGTTAGCTTGTACACGTCATGGATCTTCTTTTGATGATTTAGTGTTGATAAATTAATGTTTCATGTTCTTTCAATCTTTTCATTAGTATATCCATGATAGTGATTCATCTTTATTTGTTTGAAAGCTTATTTATAGAGCGCTAAAACCTATTTGCATTAATGTGAGCAGTTGTGTAGTGCCTAACTGCAGTCTTTATGTTAGCCCTACCTTTTGGTGGATCTTATTTAATTTTATCATCATCCTCATGAGCTTCATCAACAACTACTTGGGCTTTATCAACGTTTTGATCATCTTTATGAATTTTCTATCTCTAGTCATTCTTTTGGAATGCTACAAAAGCTTTTAATCTTATTTTGCACATACTCTTTGAAAAAAATTTAGACATGTTATCTTTGGTTTAAAGGTTTCCTTCCTAATCATTTACACTTTAATCCTTGTTCAATGTGACAATTAAAAAGTGATTGATGCTATCGAAAAATGAGAGGATGTACTAGGAAGGAAAATGCATTTGGGATGAGAGATAAAGGTGATGGTGTCATGTGAGGATGATATTTGATTGATGGAGCTATAGTTGATGGGGACAATATGATGCTGAAGAGAGCAATAAAGAGTGATATAAGTAGAGATGGCAACTCTATATCTATAAGGTTTGGATTTTGGTGTGATGGGTAGAAATGTGGGGCAATGATTAACATCTGGGATGATGGTGATATCAATGATTTAGAGGAAGGGAGAGCAATAGAGAGCGTGGGGGTTGTAAGAGAAATGATTGGGAGCAAGGGACAAAGTGATTATCAATTTATAATTTTGATTTCTTTGTATTTTAGGAATTGAATCCAAACTACTAGTGTCTTAAAATTGATCTGTAAGTTCGAGTAATTTCCTCTAATCTTGAAACATTTTTGCACACACTACTCATCACACCTAAATATCACTTGAGTTCTATCAAATCTAGTTGATTATTAATTTGACATACATTAAAAGTTGCATATCATGTGCTTAATTTTTAGTATAACCTTAAACTACCTATATTTTGGAAAGTTTTGTGGTGTAATACTCTGCACTTATTTAAGAAGTGGTCTTATCTATCAAAATTATGTTCTTTGAAAATGGCATACCCCAAGGCAGTAAATGTTGTTGTTTTTGTATTTACTCAGCTCATTCATGCGCCTCTTCTCTTTAATTAATTTGTGTACACTCCTCAATAAATAATGGATGCTTTATATAAGATATGGAAATGCAACTTAATTAGCTAAGTTTCCCTAATATGGGTTTACTTTACAATTTGATTTGACTTTTAATAGCCTTATAACATAAGAAAATAAGCTTAAGGCGTGCTTCCAAATATTGTAGTTACTCTTGACTATACTTATATAGATTTTTGGTATACACATGATTTTTCTTCGAAGGGTGAAGTATACTCTCATATTTATTATGATTTGTGAAAAATGACGTAGGTTTACATCTTGGAGAGCAAAGATTAGGCATTCACTTATCTCAAGTCGTGGAATGCACACATAGTGAGGTAAAATGGACATAATTTATGGAAAGAATAGCGTTTATAATGTAGGGTTGAATGAGCTTCCTAGAAATAGCATATCTTCAAGAAGAGGATAGTGGTTTTTATACATCAAAAGAATGGTGTGGACCATGTGGTTGAGGGGATTGATAGGATCATTATGTAGATGACTTCTTATATTTTTAGGCAAACTTAATAAGAAAATATGGAAAGAGGCACTCTTCTCCGTTGTTTATGTTGTAAATGAATTTTCGATTCATTCACAATTATTGCCTTCAAGAATGAAGAAGATGTGATTTTGTTATTGTGTGGAGTGATTTTGTCCACTATGCTCGTGCCAATGAAAGAAAATACTACTGTTATGGAATAATTAGATAGAAGGGATGATTAATAGGAAGGACTTTTGTGGAAGGAGTTGCCTTTCATGAGATTTTTTTTTCTTTATTGCAAGGTTTAATTTTAAGCTAGAGCGATTGAGTTTTACATTTTTTGTAGGCATGATTAGCTTAAGGAATAGATTTACATGCAATATCTTGAGGAACTTATAGCGTAAGGAAAAAACGATTATGTGTGCTTACTTGACAGACACTGCTTTTTAGAAGTTTGACACCTTTATGTTGGAAGATGAATTCAGTAAGTGGAGTTTGATTTTTCTGTTTTATTGTGAATGGTTTAGAATCATAACCTTCCGTCATCATTGGAAGGTATATCCTTTATAATTATACTCATCATCATCAGATTTTATTTAGTTATTTCTTTCCAAATATTTGAGAACATCAAGTCTCATGATATTCTTTTACCACCAAGTATCTCCAAGCACTCCTCCATTTGACAGCCAAACTTTAAATTTAGGAGGTATATCCTTTATCATTTTTCATCATTTTTTAATGTGTCATTTAAACTTAGGTAACTTCAAGTCTCTATGATATTCTTTTACAAACCCAGTATCTCCAAGCACTCCACCATTTGACAGCCAAACTTTAAATTTTGGAGTTATATCCTTTATCATTTTTCATTATTTTTTAACGTGTCATTTAAACTTAGGTCTTTTTATCATCAACTTTAATACATTTAACTTAATCAAACTTTCTAGCATTTCTATTTCCTGCCTTAGCTATGTTATATATCTTCTTAAAAATCTTTGTATAATAATCTATTTGAATTACATTTTCTTCTCTGCTTGATATTATTAATTTTGACCAAGGTTATGATATTTTAATTTTTCATATGTTCAACAATCCTAGTTGAATGATCTTCTTCTTTCTAGTTGCCTCATGTATTGTATGTTGGCTCATGTATTTTATATCTCCCTTTCTACTTCGTTAATAATCAACATATTTGATAAAAATCTTTAAGAAGTGTAGCTTTGTCTTTGATAATTATTGCATTTTCAAAAATTCTAGCTTCTTTTTAATTATTTTGAAAATTTGCTTTTCCAACTTTTAAAAATACTTTTTTTCATAATCTTTTTTTTCCTTCCACATTATTCTACTAGAAAAATCTTTACTTATGCACGATCTATTTCCAGATTCTTCTAAAACCTCTGTTGTAATATATTTTGAACTAACCATTTTGACTTATATTAGTTTTGATTCAACATAAAAATTTCAATTTGCCTCTCATAATTTGTCTTGGTAGTTTAAAAGCTCTCATATGTAGTATTATTATTATTTGTATACTTTTAAAAGGCATCTATTAAACTTTCTCCTTTGAGCATCTTACACCTTTTGCCAAAAAAAGAAATATTTCTCTTCTATATAAAATATTTTTTTGGTAACACATTTGAATGAATGTAAGTGCTATTCTTATTTTTTGAAGTATAAATTTAATAATTATTAGAGCATATGCTACTCCATTATCAAATCGTTTATGCTAGTACATTTTTATCTCATATTCCACCTATAATGAATCCTCTTATAACATATCCTACTTAATATATGACTATTTATGTTATCTTTATTGTCATTATTAGCCTTATCTTATCCACTTGATGTTTTTTTTGGTGAATACTCATTCTTTATTCTTCCCCACCGAGTGTTATATGAGCTTTTAATTCTATTTTGGGAAAATTTGTTTTGAACAACACATAGCCATATTAATTTTCTCTTGCCAATGTTCCTTTATGATCTTTCCACATTTATTTTATTTTGTTGTCTTATTTGTGAGCACCTACATCTATTTTAATTTTTCTTTTTGGTGTAGAACCAATAAGAACCAAATTTCTCGCTATTGCAAATCTTCTTCCTTCTTTTTCTCAAGATAAAAGCCATTAGGTTTGTGTGAATTACTTAAGGATAAGCATTATTATTATAAGATGATAACTTTTTAATTTTAAAAATAAATGAGGTTCTAAGACTTGCGAAGGACATCATCCATTTTGGGCTTAAATAAAATTTTCAAATTCTTCAAACTGGCGTGCTTGATTGTATGTTAAATTTTTTGAATGCAGTGCATTCACAATTACTGATTTTCTTGGAAGTCAGCTCCTTCTATTAGTGTGAGGCTTGAAATTTTTTGTTTGGTGATATGCTACCCTATTCTTTACCATGTTTCATAATTTAGTATTAGCTCCGCAAGTGTTATTAATTGTACTGAAAACTTGGTGTTGCTGGAATTTTGGTTTGTAATAGAATTGTTGATAAAAACATAATTGTTCATGTTTGTAATTTTTTTTGATATAAATGATCATTAATAATCATCATGTTGACCTTCAAATTGTCTCATTTGTCATGCGAATTTGCTTGGGCATGACCTTCAAAATATCTCATCTCTTGTGTGAATTTGCTCGAATATGATTCAAGCATCATTCCAAGAATAAAGCAATGAGAGATTTGTTTGGAACTAAAAACACAATGAAAAACAACAACATAAAGCCTTTGTCCCACTATGTGGGGCGGCTACATGAAAAACAAACAAAAAAAATAAAGCAATGAAAAGAATTAGGATTTAACGTGAAAAAACCCAAAATTGAGAAAAAACATAGATACACCACCGTAAGAAATTCACTATGAAAATGAGAGATATTAAACAATGTCTCTTCTTACACTCTCTCCTTATCTCTCTTTACTTTTCACTACGTTCTCCGTACAAATAAGATAAAAAGGCATACTTAAATTCACCAAGAGACAACCTTAAAGTCAAATAAGAAAAACGAGAATGGAAAAACTACCCAACTCGACTTGCAACACCACAATTGTAATATTGTAGCGCTCCACTTTTTGCCTGTGAGATCACCCTGTAGCCCCGTGGTCCTGTAGCCTACATCGCTGTGAAGCTCTACTTTATGTTTCTAACTTGAGACTGAAGCGTCGCAACACTCTTGTGTACAGCGCCGCAACAATCAAATTCTACAAATTCTAACAATCTCCTACTTGAAAGTATTTGTGATCAGACCTCCTGATTTGTAGCACCACCAATATAGTATTTGTAGTGTGGCTCACCCCTACCTTAGTCTTCATGAAGAACAATTGAAGTTATACATAGCTTCAATTAATCAATTGCCATCATTTTTATCAGCATGTCTACAGGACTCTGGGTCATGTGTATTTTCTCCAAAGATAACTGATTATCTTCTAGAAGTGGCCGATTGAAATGATATCGAAGCTGGATATGCTTTGTCCTGATATGGCATGCAACATTCTTAGCTAGATGAATAACACTCATGCCTCACTATGCAACTTCTCATTCATTTTCCCTTTCTCAAGTTTTGCCATAAAAGTTTTTAATCATATCATTTCCTTGCTAGCCTCAGTGATAGCAATTTATTCAGCTTCTGTGATTGAGAGAGCAAAGATCTTTTGTAAATTTGAAACCCAACTCACTGTTGTGTCCCCTAACTTGAAGATGTATCTAGTTGTGTTCCTCCTATCATCAATATCGTTAGCAAGTTCAGAATTTACACATCCCTGTAGTTCAATCACCATATATTCAAAGTAAAGAGCTTTATCAACTGATCATCTCAAGTGCTTGAGAATCCACTCAACTGGCTCCCAATAAAGGTTGTATGGGTTATTCATAAATCTGTTGACTACTACCACTGCATGTGCTATATTTGGTCTCGTATAGATCATAACACATGAAATTTCTAATTATTGAAGCATACAGAGTCCTCTCCATCTGTTCTTGCTCTGCTTCAGATCTAGGCGATTGTTCCTTAGGTAGTTGAAAATGATTATGTTAGGGAGTGCAAACTAACTTTGCCTCACTCATGTTGAATCTTTATAGCGCATTTTCAACATACTCAGCTTGAAACAATTTCTGTACACCAACACTTTTATCCCTATTGATTATTGTACCAATTATCTTCTTAGCAGGGTTTAAATCTTTCATTTCAAATTCCCTTGATAGCTACTCTTTTAGCTCTCCTATCTTCTTTATATTTGATCCTACAACAATCAACATATCATCCACATACAAGAGCAGTAATATATAACAATTATCGAAATATTTGAAGAAATAACAATGATTTGCTTAGGATGTACACTATGTCACAACCAAACCTGTTAAGACCCACAGACTGAACATATTCTATCGTGTTGAGCTGTAACAAGTGAATCCTATGATTGAAATTTTGGAAAATTTTCAGAAATCTTTTTCTAATTCAACTTAAAAATAACAATAAATACAAAGCTGTTAATAACATCTAGTACTGAAAAATAAACTTATCAAGAAAAATTATTTTTCATTCATCATAAAAAATACATATACAATCACAGTGTATGACTATCAATAAAAGATACAAATCAAAGTAATGAAAATTAGACATGATTGTGCAAAAATCGAAAGAAGAAATACCGACAAACTCGGATAGAATTTTGAAATTGCTATTCAATAGTCTTTTTTCCCTTATCTAGACCCTAAAAACAAAATGCAAAACAATGGTGAGCTAAAGACAGCTCAACAGGCCAAAAATATCAATCTAGATTTTCAAATCTTTTTTTATTAAACATTTTCTTAGAATGATTGATGTAGAACGGGTAGGAGATTGCTCTTGAAGAGCAAATTACGGGGTCTAAACAGCAACTTTGACTCTTAGAAAATTCTGGACAGCAATCTCCAATGCTTGAATAAACCTTGGGCAGCTGATATAAGGCTGCTGGAGACTTTTGAACAGCAATTTCAGACCTCCCGGGGTGCAGGACAGCAGTTGGTGGCTGCAGGAATCTGTGGACAGCACACAGGATACAGCAGAAATTGCTGGACAGTAATTTGCTGTAGTAAAAACAGTAACTGGGAAGCTTCAGGTTGCTGTTGAAACACTGGACAGCAATGCCGAACTTCTGGCCAGCAACCTT